ATATGATTTTCTTGAAGTGGAGACATACCTATATGTTACAGAAGGAAAAGCTGAGATTTTGCTAATTAGTAGGAACTTTTTTCCCCTATGACCTATTAGCCTTTATTATTCTACTGTTTCTCATACTTAAAGATACCTCAGTCATTTCTCCCAGAGCTCACAGATAGGTAACAACAAAATAGTAAAGAACAGTACTAGAGTAACTGTCTTCAAATAACAAATGTTTCTTAAAAGTATGTTAATTGAATTTTGAATTTTAGAAATGGAATAATTTAAAATACACAGGGAAGCTCACCATTTAAAATAATCCTATGATTAATCCTTCACAAGGTGAATAATCATGTAATTTGCCAGTTTTATAAATCTTTTTTTTTAATCCTAAATTTGCTTAGAGGACAGCTGTACGGCAATCACTAATCAGAAATGTACTAGGATTTTAAAGTAATGCTTAATATTTGTTTCTTTATAATTTAAATGGCATAGAAGTAGTTCTTTCAGACCTGTGGTTAACCAAAGAGGGGAAAGGAAAGAGAGGGTAGGAAAGAAAGAAGATGCTAGTAATATGGTCCTATAATCTGCAATGGAACTATGTGTGTGGATCTATTTGAATGCCAAGTTTTTCCAAGACAGAATATTATTTAGAAACATGTACCTAAATCTCTCTGTTAAAATTCAACTCCTAGTGTAGGCTCTTAAAAGGGTATCAGCAGAGCACCAAATCTGACAGGTCCCACCAAATCAGAAAGGCTTTGAGGAACAACAGCAGACTGACCATGGCTGTCATTAGATGACCAGCTTAGCTAAGGTTATAGAAGTTCATGACCCCAGATGTTTGGCCCCAAAGACACTCTAGTAAGATGTAGCAGAATTGTAATCTGCATCAGTGGACAAAGTATCCACATTGATAAGACTGTAGCTCTGTAGGTATTGAAATAGAGTTAAATCAGTAAATGGAAGATTTGTATTTGCTTAGTACAAGAGCACACTATACCTCCTCAAATTTTGAAACTGGTGACTACTAAGTTCTTTAGAAATCACAGGATATTTAATTCAATTTGTGGCTTGTTAACCTCACATTTGTATAACTCAAAGCTGTACAAAATGCTTTATTTGTAACAGTCCTGGGAGGTAGTAACATATATTGACTCCATTATTACAGATGAAGAAACTAAGGCTTAGGGAGGTGACTTGCACATAGTCACACACTGAATAAATGTCACAACCAGAATTCAAATCCAGGTCTCCTGGTTCCAAGTGCAGTGGCCTTTCCACCATGCCACACTCCTTTCCCAACAAAGTGGCAGATGGGATAGGGAACTACAAAGAAAAGACATTGTGAAAAGTTACAACATAGCTGTGATATTTTTGGCTTCCCTCACAGATCTCTAAAATGGCTAATGTGGGAATCTTCTTCTCTAGGTGACTTTGAAAGGTGAATTGTTAGAACAGGTGTTGTAGAATGGAAAAATTGGGTAAATCAGCCCTTTTCTATCTCATATTTTTTTCCTAAAATATTTTGAGTTATAGTTCTAAGAATAACAGAGTAGGTTTTTTTTTTTATTAAAAAACTATTCAACTCATTCTTAAATTAGTTTCAAACATTTGATCCTTGGGCTACATCTAAATTCCAGGGGATAGGTGTTCAGGATGTAAGTGAAGCTAATATAGGTTTCAAGGGAGTTTAGGGAAACTAACTTAACATAGGGTATTGACTATTAATTTACTGAACTCTCCTTAGATTTTCAATAGGCATTTAGAACTCAAAATACATTTCCTTAAAGAACTCACTAAACAGGAGCTTAATTTTGGTGTAAGTTTTTACACACTGCTATTTTTGCTTTTCTCTAATGATGTGTCCGTATGACAGAACCAGCCAGCCAATTCAGTGGGGCACACTTCAGTCAAAGTGTATCAAGTAGACAAAAACAAAGTTTTGCCTAGATTCTTCTACTTTGTAACCGATCATCTAAAAGTTCCAGCAGGGAATTACCACTATAAATAGTAGTTTATGAAAGACTTGTGTTTGTCCTTTGTTCTGGAAGAGGACCATGACATCAAGGAGATGATGACATGACTTGAAATTGACTTTGATTTGAGTGAGGGAGAGCTGTGCAAGGTCACCAGCCTCATTTTCTCCTCCAGAGCCATCTGGGTCTAGTGGCCAGATATTGGTTAGGATGACTGGAGATGGCCCAGGATACAGTGGGAGACCCTGTACCTTTTAAGCTAAGGTCTTTTCAGGTTCTCACTTTGAGGGAAGCAGCACCCATTCAATGAATAGGCCTCTTTAAGAAGTGAATGAAGGGATGGCCCCTTTAATAATAATAATAATAATAACAACAAAAGTCAAACTGGGAGGGGAACACCCTCAGAGTTGCTGGCTACAAGAGAAATAGTTACTATTTACATTCCCTCTAAGCCAGGAGGGCCCAAAAAAACAACCAGTAAATGGTTCTAAAGGGATCTATTGTCCAATCCACGAGCACCAGAGCAAATTGGGTTTAAGGCTTGATCTTTGAGAGAGAGAGAGAGAGATCTAGCCAGTAAACCCCAAGTGAACTAGGCAGCTTTCAGCCATCAAAATTTACTTTCCTTTGGGCAGAACACCTTCAGGTAAGGGGACAGGAGAGGAGAGGAGAGGAGACTTATTAATGAGCCAAATATCCCAGTTAATTTACAGAGATAGAGCCCATTGTCATTGCTTTCACAACTGCATTTCAGCAGACGAACATTACATTACAAGTCTCTGTGGGTAAGGGTTAAAGGCAACATGGGTTACTTTTCTAAACTGTACTACTACTGCAAACACCAAGACAGCTGAACCAGGAAAGAGCCTACCCTTTGTAAGCTTTTTGGCCCTTGCACTAGCATGCTAGTTTTGAGTCAGGGCAATGGCTTAGGATAGCAAGACTTTTGAAGCTATAACCATTTTCTCAAACTTCCCAAGTGTTCTAAACTGAAAATGATAATGCAGCTGAGATTTTGTCACAGTCTTATCCAACGATGTTGCATCATAATGTACTGAGGTGATGTAGTAAGCAACAGCACTGAAAGCCAGCAAAAAGCCCACGTGGTGTTACTTCTGTCAGACGTCCCATGGTACTTATGAACAAATGGAGAAGGCCTAGTTAAGAAACTTGGAGCAAACAATGGCTTCATGGTTTAAGCATAAGGCAAAGCTGCTTCATTATGTCTACTCAGTAATGCTCAGCCAGAGAAATGTTTAATGAGTCAGTGAGTTTCAGCAGATAGGTTCTCGCAATGCTGGACGTCAGTATGTGTAGGGCAGCCATACGTGGCTTTCTAGTCATTACCTGTTGCTCTTAGAGCTGAAATGGCTTGTGGGAAATTTAGGAAAAGGGAGATCTTGCCATTTTCCAGAAATCTCATTTGGGTTGCAAAAAAAAGACAGAAAGGCCCAATAAGAATGACACCCCAGAGCATGCTGTCTGCAATTTAACACACACCTCTGTGTTCCAAAAATATTCAGTCCCTGCAAGAGGTAAGTGAAACAAAATTACTTTGGAGATCTTAATTGCACCCATGATGACATATCCCACATTCAGTTCTTGCTCTTTATTCAGTAAGTTGGGCCACTGAGAATCTGTTAATATGCCTCTTGTTATATCCCAAATGTAACTATAGGAAGAATGGTGACATAACTAGTATGTCAGCTTAGAATACTGTTTACTCATCTCATTATGTATTTTTTACAGATATTGTTAAAAAATTGTCACAGAGAGAAATGGATGCACAAGTTAGAAGATTAATCCACTGGGTTTGGGGAATGACCTCTTGAGGATAGCTTCTCTGACTGGTCGAGTGTAGAAGTAAATACTTACCATGGTGGATGGCAGCATCTGGCACAGATAGATACATTTTCAGAACCAAGGTCAAGCACAGGGAAAGCTTTGGTGTTTTTAAAACCATGATCAAAATGCATTTCAATTCCCACCCCCTCCCGGCTGCAACCTGTTGCTGGTACTTGCTGCATATGGTCCTTTTGGACTTTTGGACCCACCTTTGTTGAAAATCCATCAGGGAAACTAGGCTAACAGTTCACAGGGTTGGTTCAAATAATCCTGTAATCCCTGCTGCTACAACATTAAGGGGAGACAGGAATTGGTTTGGTAACTGATTTTCAGAGAAAGTGGTCTTTAAGATTGTTTACCTGTGAGTACTTCCTAATACCAGAGAAATTTCTGAAGGGATATGTCTTGGAGAAGGAATAGGGAAATGATTTCTCTCTCTAGAAAAGGAGAGGTATTATTTTTCAGGCCAACTGCAGCCTCAATACATTCAGGATAAAGATGGCTGTGTAATGTAGACTATTTACTCTTATTTCCCCCGCTTGAAGGGGAATCTTGTTTTTTCCTGGTATGGGTCTCTGAATTAGTGACTGTATAAAAATTAGAATAAGGTGCTTAAACTCTTAACTGGATGAGACATCTACAGATGTCTCAGACATCTATAAACCCTTTAGGTAACTCTTGCTCCAACCCTACACTTCCTGCTTAAAATAATTTACTGAATTTAGCATACTTTCTAAGATAAAACTTTTTTTAAAATAACAATAAAGTTCAATTTTTAATTTATCTGTTTGGCCTCTATATCAAATAGTAATGAAAAATAACTTTCCCTGTTAGAAACATAATTTTGAGTCACTGGTTAATTAAGTTGGAAACTGAGCCATTGAAAGGGAAGGGCCAGACTAGAAAAATATGTTTGCTTAACCTTCCCATCTGAGGACTAGAAACTTAGGATGAAAATAGGATTCTTTTCTGGAGGTTCCATGCTTTTGAAGTCAGCCTTCTTGGAGCTATTGTGGTGGCATCCTTATGATGGTCAGGGACTATCTTTTATAGGTAGCGTCTGTCAACAGTACAATCTGAAGTGGTCTACCAAACAAATACCCTGACGTTGTATTCTTTCATATTGTTTTTCAGTATGTCAAAATTATCTTCCTAATAGTAAGCAGATTTTACAAACTACATTTTCAGATGAAAACTCCAGAGATATGAATCCTTCACACAGAATGCTCTGCCTCCAACTGTAGTTTTGACCTGGGAACTGTTAGCAAGATCATCTAGCCTGCTGTGATCAAGGAGAGAGGAGATCTCAGTGGTAACCAGTCCAAGCTCTGAATGTAAGTTATTTCTCAACTTACTTGCTAGGTGAAGATGACTATTCTAGAAGATATGTTAATGCTAAGATCTCCTCTACTCCTATCTCTTAAACTACCTATGGATTTCAAGTCATGATGCTATGAAACTCCAAATTACCATGCATGAGTGTTTCTGGAACTCACAACAGAATGCAGCAGGCACTAAAGAAACTAAGGAAGGATCTTTCATTGATATTGATAATCATATCTAGAATATTCATTCCTTAAAAGAGTTAACATACCAGAGACCAGCAAGCTTCAAAAATGCATAAGCAACCACTGTATTAAGATGCTGACTCCTCACAGCAGGCTGTTTTAATTGCATGTACCATGCAAGATACAAGTTCTTACTGGTTTTAATTCATTTGAATGCTGTAGCATGCATGTGTTCTTTTGGAATCCTTTTAAATAATGTCTGTGTATGTATAGGATAGGACAATATGGGAGAGAGAAGAAATATAACTTTCATTTTTCTTCTGTTTCTGATACATAGTAAATCGGCTTTCCTACACATGACCTGAAATATCCCAATTCCTGAACCGATCTAAAGTAGTCAACATAAGAATTAATTTGTATGATTACAGTATAAGTATAATTCATATTTCTAAAAACTATCTTCTCACGTCTCAGTTATTCTGAATATCTGAGGATTTTGAACTTTTGGGTGTGAAGGGGGGTAAAATAAATGCTTATCAGAACTGATCAGTTCTAAGTTAGTTTCACAAAAGCTGTGGCATGGGACTTTACTTCTCAAGAAACCCCAGAATTTGTGTCATGACATTACTATTCCACCCCAGACACTAAAATTTAAAATTAACATTATATTAGTATTACCTAGGCAGTTTATTTACCTGAAGTCCAGGTAAATATACTGGTAAAGACTTTGGATAAAGTTTTAGTTCCCTCAGACCTTGTAGCATCACAATATGTCTAACTTATCTGAATCTTAGAATTTTGTGAACAAAGGAATTTAAATTACAAATTAAAAATCTAGGCTATATTTGAGTATGATGGCACATAGCTGAAATCCCTGCTCCTGGGGGACACTGAGGCTGGTGGATGGCTGGAGTTCAGGAGTTCTGAGCTGCAGGAGAGCTAAATGCCTAGCCAGTAGTATGGTGAGCCAGCCCCTGGGAATGGAGAGCCCTCAGGCTGCCCCAGGATCGGCACACTGGCCCAGGTAGGAAAAATGGAGCAGGTAAAAGCTTCCCTATCAATCCGAATTGGCCAGTATACTTCTAGCCTGCGGGAGAGACCTAGTCTCAATTTTTTTTTAAATTAGGAAATAAATAATGATAAACTTTCTCCATAGATATGAACAATCTTAAGATTTCGAGGATTACTGCCCTTCCTGAGAACTATCATTAAGTTTATAAATGACTAGATAGGTAGGTTAATTTGAGAAAAGAGAAAAATGTAGCCAGTTGATAGAATTTTACTTTGATATTTTAAATCCATCCATTTCTCTGTAGGTAATAGGCAAAAAAAAATTTCATTTATGAAATTAATCATAGGATCCTAGCCCTAGGGCTGGAAGGGACCTCATGGGTGACCTACTCCCGCCCTCTTTATAGAATAAGTAACTGAGGCCCAGAGAGGAAAGGTGAGCTGCCCAAGGAGTAAATCTAGTCTTCTAATAGGAAACAAAATTCTAGCCAGCTTAAAATGACTGTTTTGTTGACTGCTACTAAGTATTTAATAAAACTTAAGTCACGTTGTATTCATTTCTCTTACTGAGCACTCTTAGAAGAAAAACTAGGTTGCCATCCAGCGTTTCAGGAATATTGCTATGGTGATTTCACAGCTGCTCGTTCTCTGTATAGCTAATCCTTTCTATTACATAGTTCATTAAAGCCTTGATTGATATTCATCCTCTTTGGTGCAGTATAGGACATTCACTTATGTGAGGCATAATTATTCAACCTTTCTATGTGTAACATTCATTTAATTCAGTTTTCAAATTTAAATGCTGGAGGTTTAGTTTGTTTATGACTTTGTAACTAGAATCCCAATTATTAGGAAGTTGGATTTAAAAGGCAGCTAAGCTAGGTTTATTTACTCACTTCAAATGTCAGATAAAGGAGACATTTAGAAAATGAAACTTGAGAAACCAGCTAATGGGGAGGACTTATTTTGGCCAGAATAATTCTGAATACTAAGTCAACAGAAAAATGACCTAGTTGCCCCAAAGTAATTTCTTGCTTTAGAGCTTCCTAAGAAATTACTAGGTTACTAAATATAATTCAGGTGGTAATTAAAGTTATTATAACAAAACATTACCCTTAGTGCTTTTTGTTACTTTTTTTTTTAGTGCAGACCCATTCAAGTTCCAAACTTGTAACATTAGCCATTTTTATATTGAAGGTTCCTCCCACCACTTTCTAAGCATGCCCAGCGGTGGCTTCAGAAAGAAGGTCCTGCATATGTATTCATGCATTTATAATTATCTACTGCATGTGATTTTTTTCCCCTGTTGTATAAAACAGCAGTGTTAGTTATTGCAGTAGGGTTAGTTTTTATTTGATCTCATTTCATATAATTAATTGATGTGAAACTTACTAGCATACCTAGGCTGCAGCCCCATGCAAGCAAGCAGAAAGCAAAGTATTTAAAATGGAAGAGAGAAACTGGCTAGCAGGCAGCTAAACTCACCCTTTTGTACAGCCTATGGTCCGCCAGAGGGCTTTAGACAGTAAAACAATACCAAACAGCTATTAGCATACAAGTGTCATAACAGAAACCTTACAAATAGCTTTAGTTAGACAAAAAGAAGACCAAGTGGCTTTATTTTCTGGGGAGAAAAAAAAAAGGGAAGTGGTGGCAGGAAGAATGAAGTGGAAATTCTACAAGTGCTTTAAAAAAAAATCTGGATGAACTATGTTTTGGACTTTATATTTTGCTCAGTGTACATTAGGGTTTAAGTAAAATGGAGCTAGCAGAATTCACTGGAAATAGGAAAGGACTACTACTTCTTAAGTTAATAAAACTATTTCAAGACCTTCTGCCTTTTTCTTGTGTAGTTTCAGGTTGTTCCCTATTTTAGGAAGAATTTTTACCAACTATTGAGGATTGATAAATACAGCAGTTTCTTCTAAAATATATGAAATGACCCTATAACCAAGGGAGAACAAACATTTTAAATTAGACTTCCCGTAATGAGTTTAGATAGATGTCAGATTTTTCTCCAGATTTCAAGAATCATCATGAATGGGGCAAGAGTATTGACTTTATATGTATTTCATGGGTTGTTAAATCTGATTTCAAATTTTCTTGGCTCTCAGTAAGTAATATCCGGACCACTCAAAGAATGGCACAAAATAAGTTCAAGGAGTAGCATTAAATATGACAAACAGCAAAGATTTTGGGATCATTGGAACTGCTTCCTCTTGTCCTATTCTAAGCAGAGAACAAAAATTTAGAACTCAGAGTAGGTTATATTTCCTTTCCTATGACATTATTACAAGGTAAGGTCTGAACATAAAGGAGATAAAAACACTGTGGAATTCTTTCTCATTTGTATACAGAAAAGAATAGGACTGATCCTGTGATTTCTTTGGTTTAGGCCTAGATCTTCTGGCTGAGGAAATTCCTTCTGCCAATAAACATCAGTGCCTTGTGTTTTAGAGAGTTACCAGGGCTAGTGCTGAGAGGGTGAGTCACTTAGTCAGCATCCCACACCCAGCATGTGTCAGAGGTGGTATCTGTACCCAGCTCTTTCTAGATCGAAAGTTGGCTTTCTAGTCCCTATGTCATCTCATCTTTCTAAAAGAAAGACAATTCTGAGAGCAGAGAGAAAGAGAGAAAGAGAGAGTGGGGAGAGGGAGCCCATTCTTCCCACGACTCCAGATGCAGCCATGACATTTTAAAAGCCACTTAAAGGTTCATAGGACCCTTAAGTGATTGATTAAAAGCTGGAAGAGGACCTTTGAGGCCATCAAGTCCAACCTCTTCATTTTACAGATGAGGAAACTGAGACTGAGAAAAGTTAAGTGACTTGTCCAGGGTCACACAGCTGTAGTAAGTGACTGACTTAGGATTTAAACTCAGATCTTCCTGAATCCAAGTCCAGAACTCTTATTCACTGCATCATTTAACTTGTGTTCTGAAATCAAAGTCACTCAAGTTACCAAGAGGGGCAGGTTTGGTAGAATGGAACCTGAATGAGGGACATGATTAAATCTTGAATTGTGATCTTTAATGAAGAAGGATCAGCTATGTTGATAAACATGGATTAAATGGAGGGAAAGAGCAAATTCAGAACATGAAAATTCTGATTGTTGTGTTAAGGTTATTTTTAAAAAATTGCATCTGTCTCAGATATTTAATAGTCACATGTGAGAAGGGAGGATATAATTCTAAGATGCTTAATGCCTGTGAATTCCTCCTCTTCCCCCAAGTAGATTTGCTATATTACAGGTGGGAGAAGGAAAAGAAGGGGATTGTTAGCAGCTGTAAGGGACCCAAACATGGAAGACCTTGGCATTTTCATTAGACAAAGAAAATATGTTGCCCTGTTTGGGTATGAATACTATAATGAATGCTATATACATGGTATAATTATAAGCTAATGAGATTTATTTTTTGTGTGGCGTGTAACTGAAGTCTCTATATGGTCACACTTGGCCTTAAGGCATAATTTCTGGATTTTCTTCCATTTCAGAGGATTGTCATTGGTGCCTTGTTACTTCTATTATTCTTTCATTTGGATGTCTCATCACTCAACATGAGAGAAAAGATCCACAGTTACCACAGTTAGGCTACATAGAAAACAATAGGAAACCCCCCGCCCCCCACCAGTAAATGACAGAGAACACATTCTGCATTAATATATGTTAAGAAGAGACCTAAGTGTCTTCCAGAAAAATTGGCTTCGTGAACCGCAGTGAAACCAAGATTCTGATATTCTGAGAAACATACTTCTGTGTGAGACAAATAAACTACAGACCCACGCCTAAGACAGAACCACTAAACTACCAATCTTA